ACACAAAATTGACAACATTTCGAAAGAACAAAAAAAGAAAAAGATTACCTTGATTGAAAGAAATCTAAAGAGCGTTGGTGGTAGGCGCTCAAAAGCATGTTAGCGGAACAGGTCTTAAAGAGTAAAATTACAATGGAAACTGAGGGAGTTAAAAATCCATTAACCTAAAAAGGCCGGGCTATTTGAGGTCTTAGAATTGCCGGGGGGCATTATGGCCCCCCCCTTAAGATCTCGGCCGCGAAGCGGCCGATCGCCGCGAAAATTTGCACGCATGTAAAGTGAAGTGTATAGAATAATATGATAATTATATGATCATTTGCATATTTATGGTAATTTATGCAAATAAAGTCATAAAAATCTAGCCAGCTTATTCCTTATGTTATCTCTTGTTTTGATAATTTCTTATGTATTTCATTGTTTTTTTAACTTATGTATTTCATTGTTTTCGTTGTTTTATTTTATTTCTTATAAGACCTTGTAACCGTAGGTCCGATTTTCAAAAAAATTCTTTTAAAAGTTGCGCAAGACTCGAAAGAAAAAAGTCAGCGAGCGGCGGGCGCCATCCATATGCGTTCCCGATCAATCGGAAAAATCGTGGAGTGGGGCATAATGCCCCCCGGCCTTATTAGGGTTAAGCAGGGCTCCCACTTAGCTGTACGGATCTACCAACGAGTTATCAAGATCTTTTGGTATTGGTATTGGTATTTATTTTCCATATCACAATATTAAAAACAATACAAAGAAAATGCATGTACATAGTAAAGTCAATAGTATAGTGAATGGCTGGATAACCCATTTAGCTTTGTTAGTATAACAAAACTTTTCTTCCCTGGGGAAAATGGGAACTTGTCGATGGAAAAGGGGCACTTGTCAAAATAAAAGGGCACTTTTAAGAGGTGAAAAGGGGTAGGGGCACTTCTACAAATTAATAGGGGCACTAGTCAAAGATAAAGGGGCACATTTCGAGTACTATAATAAGTGGGGGCACTGCGCCCCCGCCCCGCCCCCCCCCCCCTGCACCCCTCCCTGCTCTCCTACCCCCCGGAGAGGGCTGCCTCTGATTTTGGCGCTCTCCAAAATAAAGATGGATGCCAGAAGCATATTTGCTCGATATGTTGGAGGAAGAACAGGCCTGGATCCTCTGCACAAGTATGCCAGCTGACGTACCATGGTGCGTTCGTCATGCCCGTCATGATCGCCCTGCACTCTGCTCATGCTCATACGAAACTCGCCGTAAATCCCCGTACTCGATCTAAACTCGCGTTAATACTCTTGGAAACTCGAATAGCACTCGCGTATACTTGAAGGTGACGAGTTGCTATGAGTTATGAAGAGTGCAGTGCAAGCTTGTTACGAGTACTGCGAGTATATTACAAGTGTAAGCAAGTTCACCTCGAGTTACGAGTCAGTGAAAATTTTGAACATGTTAAAAATTCTGGAACTGCTCCTGACTTCGAGGAGAGCCCTGGAATGTTGTAAAAAGTTACACCGAACCATACCGAGTTGTCGCGAGTTATCCCCGAGTTACAAGTAGAGCTATTCGCGAGTATTGCGAGTGCCTCTTTGAGGCAACTCATTACAACTCGTCATAACTCGCCAGTACAACTCGGCTAAGTGGGAGACGTGTATCAATGCGATACGATGCTCATCATTTAGCCCAGACTCAAGTTTCAATCCGGGGTCCGATAAGAGTCAGTTTAAAAAGTAACATTCACGGATATGACCGCTAGACCAACTAGCAATTCCCTAAAAAAAAAAGTGGTATGAAGTTTCATATTCAACAAGGAAATTTTTCTTTCTGGACCATTTCTTCGTTCTAGAACTGTAAAAAAAAATGCCATTAAGATCCTTTTTATTGAGTCTTTTTTTTTGTAACCGTTATGTCGCAAATCTCTGTTATTAATTTGTAAAAACAGAGGAAATCGTTTCCTATTTATTTCCTATCTTTTTGCAAGAACAAAATGATATTTCTCTCGATCTCTCTTCAAGACCATTCACTCACTCTCTTTCTGTCCAAGTACCTCATTTTAATACACAAACAAACCAGAAAATTGTATTTATCAGCACCATATCGTACATTTAATTTGATTTTATTGTTTGAATCAACAAGTGACAGTTAAAATAATTTAAAATGTCATATTTATTCTTTTGTACAGTATTCAATATTTATCAAATTAATAATAAATGAAATAGATAAATAAAGTACCTATACTATACATTGTATACGCATTTAATACACGAAAAAGCATAGAACTAAATGGTATAAATGTTATACCAACCTACAGGGCACTGAATTGGATTTGGATTTGGTTTGTCTTTCAAGGAAAGGTTCATTTTTTCTTTTTGATTGGAATGTGTTCAAATAAATAAGACATTTTTGGAATATTCAAATATAAAAGGAAAAATGCTCCTCAGATCAAGTAAGTGTTTTTGGTTGAGAAGGGGATTCTGTTGTCATTCTAAGAAGGAAACGTGTGGAATGACAAAGTCGGAGAACATGTTTTGACAGAATTTGGAATAAAGTTATGATATCCATGTAATGTCATATTCCCGATGTTGTGTATTCACATCATCTATACTGTAGAATAATAATCAGTTTAATTCATGACAAAAACAAGCCTAAGTGTGATTGAAAGAGAGATTTTTTTTTTGTAGCATTTTTTTAAATTGTATTCATTCAGTACAAAATATATTATAAAAAACATACAGTTTCATTGATTTACATAACATATCAAAATATAAAGAAAATTGTACAACCCTCAAAAAATATATAAGATAGTTTACTACACAGTACATAATGTTTTCAAATTAATTATACTGAATGAATATTATAAATCAAAGCCTTACGCACAGACAGACAGACACACACTAACAATACTAACTGGTCCATCATCAACGACCCAATCATCTCTCGATGATCTCACTCAGTCTCAATAGCTCTGAATTCATTTTCTCTCTCCCTGTAACTCAACCAACTTTTTGTCTCTCTTTTTGTATTTCTCTTTCCTTCTCCCTTTCTCTTCCTTTCCATCTCTTTCTCTTTCTCTCTCTCTCTCTCTCTCTCACACACACATTCTCTTTCTTTTCCTTCCTTTTCTATCTCTTTCTCTCTCGCTCTCCCTCTCTCTTTCTCATTTCAGCTCTTTCTTTCTCTGAAGTTTGCCTTCTCCATCTCAGGGGTTTTAAGGCATTTAATCACGGTCAGAAGGAAAAAGGAACACTTATTTTGTGTGTGCTTTCTTTAGCACCAAAACAAATAAATTCATGGCTGATTGTCAACGAAACGGAGTTAAGTCTGTTGTCAATTCTGCTTGTTGCTACGACAGGCAGCAAGTGAAAACGAAATCGTTTGATAAAATTATGGAAAAACAAGCACTATTTTAAACAAACAGAACTTTGTCATTCCTTGCTCATGTTTCCTGATTGAGGTGTCATATGAAAGGGCAGGAACTCAACTTTCTAGAAATGTGATTTTCTCTTTGAAATTCAGATACCGTCCGCCAAATGACTTTATGGTGTACTCTCTTCAAATTCATTTTAATAAATCATGCGTGAAATATGCATCATATGAGTTGCATCAAATGAAAGATGAGGATCTAAGCTTTCCAAATATGTGTCATTTATTAATTATAAATGTGACTAAGTTATGATAAAACATCGATAATTCTCGGTTTCGTTTTTTCTGGGACGCACTGTATAAATATATATATATATAGAGAGAGAGAGAGAGAGAGAGAGAGGGAGAGGATGAGGCATATGCAAAGATGAAATTCAGGTATTCATTCATTCATTCATTTAATTCACATCTTAAACGAAACTCGTCTCCTCTTCACTATCTTACAGTTGTGTATTCACTCCATTCACTCGGGTTCCGAAGAAAGGTTTTCATGTTCGTATCACGGAATTGCCAATATTCCCAGCCCTTCGTTTCCGGGTTCCAATTAAATCACTGAATGATTTATTTAATCTAATATTTAATTCTAAGCTTCTTTTCCAAATCAGCGGAAAATAACACACGAAGTCTCAAAAGTTTGGTTTGGTGCATGTTGGGTTTAATTTTTTTATCACCATGCAAGGGTTAAAAAAAAATCACTAAAGGTTTGAGTTTTGGTGACAGAGATCTCCATCTGACAACATTGGACTATATAAGGCATCGTTGTGCATTCTCCAGTGTTCTAGGAAAGGAAGAAACCTTGGTTAACGTTAAATTTGCATGGATATGGACATACAAAACCTTCGTTATTGTCCGATTTGGTGTTTAAAGATAAAGGTGAGTTCTGGTCATCCGATTGCATTGTGAAAGAAAAGGTGTGGAATGGATCAGAACAAGTTGATCTTGTAGAATGTAAGTATTGGTGTGTGTACTGCAAAGTTGTGGAGTCATCAAAATCATAATAAATTCAGCCCAGTCTTGGTAAAGTAACAAGCACTGTACACAGAAAGATGTACATGAAACTACACAAATGGTGTCGGGGCTACCAACATTGATTTCCTAATCTTTCTATGCTCATTACTCAGCCAGTATATATTTTCCACCAGAATTGTTTGGCAAATGACATTTATTTCTAATCTTGAACATTCAGTGTAAGTTTCGTTTGATTATGTGAGAATTCATTTTTTTTTTAAATAATCAGAATTCACCTTTATCTTTAACGCATTGTTGAAATCGTTCGATTGGGTAACACAAAGTGAAATCTTGAAAAAAAATTGGGTCATAGTGGAATGTTAAAAAGGGTTTCTTGCAGTGTTGAAATCTGGAGTTGTAAAAGTTTTGAATCGCAGTGCATTCCTTATAAGATGAATGACAATTTTTTTTTAATTTACATATTTATTATTATTATATTTTTTTATTTTATTAATTTATTAATTAATCTATTTATTTATTTTTTTATTTATGTATTATTTTTTATTTTTTTATTTATTTATTTATTATTTATTTATTTTTATTTATTTATTTATTTTTATTTATTTATTTATTTATTTTATTTTTTTTTGGGGGGGGGGGGGTTAAGGTTAAGGTTCTTATAAGGTTTGCACTATAGTGATTACCTTATTTTACCCCTCTCTCTCTTCGAAAAGGCAAATGCAAAGATTGATGATGAACTTCATTCATTAATTCATTCATTCATTTAATTCACATCAATTGTATACGCATGAGCTCAAGCCCATGATTTCATAATATTTTAAAAACAATCTTTTAAATTGAAACTCGTCTCCTCTTCACTATCTTAAAGTTGTGTATTCACTCCGTTGAGGCACTCGGGTTCTGAAGAAAACTTTTTCATGTTCGTATCACGGAATTGCCAATATTCCCAGCCCTTCGTTTCCGTGTTGTTAGTCACTCCAAGACTCGAGTAAAAATGTCGAGCTCGTTGGTTGTTCATCCTGACGTCGAAATCAAGAGAGGCAACACCCAGATCAAGGCAGGTCTGTGGGTAAAGAACAGACAAGAGGAAAGGGTTTTCATAGCAGGATAGCATAGAAAGTTGTATGCTTCCCTGTTTAGGGGAGAAACGGGGTGAGGGGGGGGGGGGGCTGGGTATTATTATTTTGTTAAAACCTTATTATCATCCTTATTATTATCTGGATACCTATTATCACCTAACTCTGGTGCCACTAAGTCCTCCCTCTCAACCTACAGCCCAACCCAGCGAGCAGGGCGGCTTATGCGGGGTGAAAAGTGGTGATGAATTCACAACTTCTAACACTGAGTCATCCAACAAATGCGCAAACATATAAAACAATTTCGTTTAGGCCTTTTGGGAGATAAACCTTGAACTACCTTCCTAGCCATGTACAAATTTGGAAATTTTCGGAAAATATAAATTATTAGATGAGATGGATTCTGTATTTTTAAAAAATCTGTTATAGCTATCCATCTTCACTGAACATGACGTCATTTTTGAGGTGCTACGGATGACTTATAAGCTTTGTTTAACGACCGAGTGAATAGAGAACTTATGGAAGCAAACAGCGTTGCGTAACATTTCGTAATTTGTGTAATGCCAGATGGGATCATTTGTTTTGAAAAGGGCAGCTGTTGATGGATTCAGGCGCGGATCAACGTGGGGGGTGGGGGCGACGGGCCCGACCCCCTTGGTTAAAATCAAGCTTTAAAAAATACGGGCCCCCACCCCTCACCATAAAAAAGTTTTTTTTTAAAGATTGGGTGGAGTTGAGTTTTTTCCTATGTAATTTAGAGCACTACCCCCCCCCCACATACACACACACACACACACACACACACTGAGCAAAAATAGCGGTCTGAGCGATTTTCAATTTTCCGGTGGCAAAATCTTCACATTTCCGGGGGCAAAAAAACAAACAAAAGTGTTCACTTGATATGATATAGCTTCATGGTTGTATAAAACTGAACATGTGTTCATAATTGTTGTTTGTATACCTTGCTTATTGCGATGCGATGGTATTATGAGAAATAAAAGTCATGCAACATATGGACACCAATTTGACAACTGTTTTCTGCTCTTCATTTTATTATTCTAGCTCTCCTGTTACCGGATATGGGCGTTACATACATGTAATATATACGCTGATGATGTTGTCATATACGTTTCTGATATGGATATTAATGTCGTTACATCTAAGCTTTAAGCAGATCTATATGCTATAAATGAATGGTATTGTAAAAATAAATTACGTATTAATACCAATAAGAGTAATGCTATGCCGTTGAGTAGTAGCACACGAGGTAACAATGAAGTTAGTCTGAAGGTGCATATTAATAATAAGATAATAGAACAAGTTATAAGTATCAGTTATATAAGGATTAAAATTAATGATAGATTATTTAGGAATATCCACATTAAATCTTTTTGCAAATCGGTAAGTTTTAAGATGTTTAATTTAAGAAAGCTCAGAAAGTTTTAAAACTCTTCCATTTTTAATAAATATACAAATGTACCATATAGCCAATCTTAGATTGTTCTTGTACCGTCTGTGGGGAACTCTTTCTTTTAAAACAGAAATGTTCTCTTAAGACTACAGAAAAGAGTTGCATCAATGTATTGTTATGTAGGGAATTTTGATTATGATGGTAATAGCTTGAATTGAGATGGCAATCCATTGACAGTACTAGACGTGACTATTTCTTAGCATGTTTTATGTACAACTGTATTCATGGAAAAGTCCCGGTATGATTATGCGATGAAGTGGAAATGGTTTTTGACAGACATGGCTTTATCACTAGACTTGCCAACACGTTGAATGTTGTTTAACCCAAGCTTACTCTTGAATGTTTTAAGAGTTTTTTTTAGATACGCTGATGGTACATTCTGGAATGGTTTACCTTTGGCTCTTCAAAATGCTAAATCTATCGATGTCTTCAAATGTATGTACAACAACAAATTTTTTAAGCAGTGTGATACAACGCCTATTCATATACTGCTCTTGACATTATTTTTCCTCTCTCTCTCTCTCTCTCTCTCCCTATCCCTCTCCCCCTCTCCCTCTCTTTCTTTCTCTTTTTCAGTAGTAACCGCAGTGAATTGGCGGACGGCTGTAGGTTTTGTACACGAATTTGTTTCGTACTTTCATACTATTTCTAATTGATTAGTGTACAAAAGTTTTGACATAGTTTTTTTCGAGAAAAAAGGTGACTTATAACACGTGTTTCTATGGGATTTTAACACTTTGAATTCTACTTAGAGATCTTTTAATTTCCTACTGGACTTGGTTTTTGGTATACATTGTATGCCTCAAGTGTGAAAATTAAATGTTATTGTTATGTTGGGAGTATTGTCAAAGTCTAAACTAAAATGTTAATCGAACACCCTCTCCCCTATGCTAGCAACGCCCCCAGCAGTATCTTTGTTCAGTAAGAAATTATGTCCCAATATGTTCCATCTAAATTGTCGATAAAATATTGCGTTATCACTTTTAGGAAAGACGATTAAAAAAAAGAAAACCCAGCCTCGAGCTATCCTGCGCTCAGTATTTAAAGGGTGAATAAAATTAACCCATTGCCTACTGGAACCTGATGGCTCCTGTGTTAAGCCTATGGGAATGAGAGAATCCAGGTGTCAACAGGTTAAGAAGACAAATCTTGAGATTTGAATTATACACTCTACCTTGCAAACTGCTTTCAGGGAATGAGAGAATCCAGGTGTCAACAGGTTAAGAAGACAAATCTTGAGATTTGAATTATACACTCTACCTTACAAACTGCTTTCATGAGTGCCCTCCCGAGTCCGTTACCTGTAACCAAAACAAGGAAATCCAAATTATAGGTTCAATAGTTATCTGGTCAGAGACTCGTGAAACAATCGCAAATGTTACACCTCAAATCACACCGCCAAACCTACCCAAACCGCCCCATTTCTAGCCAGTTGATGAAATGTAATTTTGCGTTTTCCCATCTTTTCTTTTTCAACATACACTAGGACTGAAATATAATTTCCCCAAAATGTATGGCTCAGGAAGATCTTTTAGTTTTTATGCTATACAGAAAATATTTCTAGTAGTGCCCCCAAGGGAAGATCGAGGCACTTAATAAAAAATCAGAAATTAATGATATATAAGTACACGACAAGTGGGAGAGTTGTACGTCCTTGAATACGTCACAATCCGCTGACAAAATTGTCAATTTGAGAATTGCATAATTTTGTGATCTCATAATTGTTTTGAGCATTCATATCCTCTTATTATCGATCCGTTTCACTTCAAATTTCGCCATTCTGTTTCTCTGATTTTATTCTTTCATATACAAATGAAAATATTACAAAAGGTGCATTGTCCTTAACCTGGACTTTCAATTTGGATGTCGGTTAACTCAAACTTTTAAATTAGGCCTAGTTATACTGCCAGACAGACACCAAAACTACTCCAAAGCGGCCATTTAAAGTCGTCTCCTGGCCATTTGGGGGTAGACAGAGGTGGCGTAGCGGGGGGGGGGGGCACAGTGCACTCCTCTCTTTTTTCAAGTACCAATTCTACAATTCTACAATTTTACTTTAGATAAGTGCCACTTTTTATTCCTCATAGGTGCCCCTATTCCTCTCAATATTTATTTGTTCTATATTTTCTTATCTATTTCTCTTTATTTGTCTGTCACCCCGTCGGTCTTGTGAACCTTTGCAAATGCCTTCCACGGACTGTAGGTATACTGGATGACACCTTTTAACTTTCAAATCTTCTCGTACCCGAATTCTCAAGTTCCAAAACCAATACCATATCCTCAATTTTTAATCCTTCCTAAGACTTAACAATACTTTAGTCTTAAATATTTACCTAACTGCAGGCGCGTACGCGGTGGGGTGTTTTGGGGGTTAAACTCAATTTGTTGTTGTTGCTGACGTGATCTTCCCATTTCGGGGGGGGGGGGGAGGGGGAAATATCATTGCTCTCTACGGGGGGTAGAGAGCCCCCCCCCCCCCCTACTGAGCGAAATATCGGTCGGCGCGATTTTCAATTTTCAAACACCCTCCTTGAAAAATCTTGCGTACTCCACTGCCTAACTGACTATACGATTAAAAAATCTAACCAAATTGACCTCTGCAAAACAAATCCTTGAGGAATTGAAACCCACCAATCAGATTAGCATGCATGCGCATGCAACCAAATTTAAATCTTATTGTACTTAAAAATGAAATCCATTAGACTTGAGTTTTTAGTATTTTAAGGGATTAAAAACGTTTAGTCTTATGGTAGGCTTTTCTTTAATTTAAAGGGTTTTTCCCCCGGTTTAAAATTGTCTTGAACTTAAAAGTAAATGATTCAAAAATAATTATGAAAGCAGTTAATCACGCAATCGAAAAGACGACGCTTATCCAAGAGGCATAAAGGTTTAAACAAAATGTAGCATAAATCTAAACCTACCTCTGTGGCCTTCGTCGATGTACAGACCACAAAGCTTTGAATGTCGACCCAAAAAAATATCAGTGACGAAACCGTTCATTGCAGCAAACCCCACGCACATTTTTCCCCTGATATCTCCATTGTCTTCTAGTCCCTTGAGTTCTACCACGAAGAAGTGGAGATTGGGTCTTTCACCGAAAGCATCTTCAAGAAGAACTGCATGAAATGAATAAATAGAGAACGATAAATCATGTACATACGGGGTGCTTTAGAAAAAGAATGGCACAAGATTTTAATTAACATCTCTAATAGTACTGACTCAGTAATCAGCTTCACTGAAGCTGTGTAGGTCTTGTTATTGTAGTGTAGTCTAGAAGTAGTGTAAATTTACGTTTAGTCATTGACAAAATTATGATTGTTTTTGTTAAACCTGGAACTCAGGGGTGGCCGAGCGTCTTTCAGAGTGGGGGACACACATAAAAAGGGTCACTTTCTGGGAAAAAGGAACACCTACAAAAATTACCCTCAAAGCGATTTTTTTTTTAATCGCATGCTAATACAATTGAATTGAATAAACTAGTTAGCTTTTTCAATGTTGATCTCGGTGATCATTCAAATTCGCTCGAAATTGAATGATCGCATCGTTAAATCGGATGCAACTCTAATGAAATGTTAGGAGACAGTATATAGCCCGAATTCACAAAGGAGATTTGTCGACAAACCTAGGTTTATGTGCGTCATAATTAAAACGCGTTTCGACGCGTTTCAAACCAAGGTTTGTACAAAGGTATTTTAAAAGTTTTAAGAAATTTGGTTCAGTTTCTAGGAAACTCCATTTTGATGAGCGGAAGCATTGCTGCTGGCGATCAAATATAGGCCTAAAACAAGCATGGGTTTTTCAGTTTACAAGTGTCATTACTCTAAATTTAAGGAGTAAATTTTCTGAGTCTGAAACAAAACAGACTTCGTATATCCAGCTTTCTAGTAATCAATTGTACATTGTTCTACTAAAGTTGAGTTGTCGGGCGAATGGCAACCACACCTGGGCCGTCAAGGAAAAGGTTTGAAAATCCATGGTCTATAATTATAGATTATGCTCCCATGTTAAAAGAAAAATAATTTCCATTCAATTTTGAGTGTTATCAAGTGAAAAGTCTATTATATGAAGAGCTAGATTCCAAAAGGAGCTAAATCCATATTTTATCAAAATGGAGTTATTTGTCTCAAAATAATGATTTCCTACATGGGGACAAAATGCACTATATCACATTCGAAAATTTCACCAGGAAGTATAAACAAAAATAGGTACAATATCACGTTTTATTCCAAAAGGAGCTAAATCCACTTTGAGTAAATGACCTTTTTTATTTCTCCACTTTCCCTTTAGCAATGTACCTTCATATTGTTATATATCTTAAAGGTGTCCTTTATATATATATATATATATCTTAAAGGGGGACACTTTTAAAATATATAACAACATTAAGGTCCATGGCTAAAGGGAAAGTGGAGAAATAAAAAAAGGCGATTTACTCAGAAGTACCCAAAGTGGATTTAGCTCCTTTTGGAATGAAACTCTTCATATAATAAGTAAACATGATGGCACGATGAAGTTTACAAACAAATTAGTCGTCCCCCTTCCACAATCTTTGATCCGCTCTTGGCTCTTAGCTGTTCTCAAGTTAATTGGACACCGTTCGTTATAAATTAAATCATTTAATGCACGATCTTTTAAATCTGTACAAAAAAATGTAGTAGTGGATCGTATGTTAAAATCAATTCGTAACATTGTTGGTCAAGATACAATGACATTAGTATATAATGCATTGATGTTATTCCACCTCTCTTCTTGTGATGTAATATGGGACATCTGCAGGGGCGTCGCCAAAGGGGGGGGGGTGTGGGGGTGCGACACCCCTCCACCTGTCAGGATATTGTCGGTAAAATTGCGCTGCCGTCGGGAAAAAAGAGAAAAGGGGGAGGGAAAAAAGAGAGGGAAAGGGAAAGAAAAGAAGAAAAAAAAGGAAAAGAAAAGGAAAAGAAAGAAAGGAAAAGAAAGGAAAGAAAAGAGAAAGGAAAGAAAAGAGAAAGGAAAGAAAGAGAAAAAAAGAAAAAGAGGGAGAAGAGGAAAGAAAGGGAAAGAAAGAAAAGGAAGAAAAGGAAAAAAAGAAGAAAAGGAAAAAAAAGAAGAAAAAAAAGAGAAAAGGGAAACAAAAGAAACGGGGGGGGGGGGGTGAAGAGAGGAGAGAGGGGGAGGTAAGAGCCTGAGAAAGGATGAGTGGGAGTAAAAGAAAGGACGGGTTGTGGATGGAGTCGTCTCCAACAGACCCCCCCCCCCCTTTTCAGCAAAAGTCCGGTGTGTAAAGTCAATACGGCTCGACCTTTTCTTTTGTATACGAGCCTTTTTCAGCACCCCCCCCCCCCCTTTCAGCAAAAGTCCGGTGTGTAAACTCAATACGGGTCGACCTTTTTCTTTTGTTACGAAAAGGACATTTTGGCAACACGCATGGGGTCCGTCCGTTCTCGGAGTGGGGGGGGGGGGGGGCGGGCTTCGGGTTCTATGTTTAGGGAGATGAATGTTGGCAGCGCTTCTCGTATTATACGTATGGGTTTCCGAGTTGCATTGAAAATTGATAAAATCACTAAATTGTGATGGGAAGATGTTATTCATGCTTTTATACATGAAAATACCCTGTTGGTGCAAGTTGATATCACTGAATCTCAAGAAAATAATTTGTTTAAAGATGGGACCAGTATGGGAACGATAGTGCATTCCGGATATTATACGAATAATCTTCTTCTGCAATAGTGTAAGCTTTTGTATTTTGTACTTGCAGGAATTCGCCCAAACAAGATTACAGTAAGAAAAATATGGAAGTATAAGAGCACAATATAACATACGTAGAATGTGATTGGGCAAGAGATGTTTGAGTCTGGATATAATGCCAATGTTTTTGGACACCTTACTTTCAACTTCGTGAATATGGTATTTCCAAGACAAGGAACTATCTAAATAAACGCCAAGAAACTTGACTTTATCTACCCTTGGCAATATGACATTATCAAGAACAATATTGAAATCATTTAAATCTGCATTCTTTCCATTGTGAAAAATCATATAATTACATTTCTTTGCATTTACAGATAATTTATTAGATTTGAACCATTCACATATATATGCAAGACCTGCATTTACTGTACCCATAAGTGACTTCAAGTTTGAATCTCTGTGAAATATGTTTGTGTCGTCTGCATATAGTATAAAAGACAATTCATTAGCAGATTTATAAATATCATTCACATATAATATAAATAACAATGGCCCAAGCAGGCTACCCTGTGGAATTCCGCATGTTATTGTCCTAAACTCCGAAATAGAAGATTGATATTTGGTACATTGTAATCGATTGTTAAGATAGCTGGTGAACCATTTTAGAGCTACACCACGTATTCCATAACGATATAGTTTAGATAATAAAATATTGTGATTAATTGTGTCAAATGCCTTAGACAGATCTATAAAAACTCCAATTGCAAATTCATTTGCCTCAAAGGCGTCTATGACTTTACTAGAAAGACTGGTAAGAGCCATACATGTTGAATAATCCCTACGGAAACCATATTGATGTTTATTGAGAATAGAATGTTTGTCAAGAAATTCAATAGTTCTTTTATAAACAATGCGCTCGAATAATTTAGAGAAGACTGACAGTACAGAAATGGGCCTATAGTTTGTAAATTCACGCTTGTCACCAGATTTAAACATTGGTGTTACTTTAGCTTTCTTTAGCTCATCTGGAAAAATTCCGTTTAATAATGAAAGGTTGAATATATGGAATAGGGGTCTACAAAATGACCTGTTTAATGACTCTTGGACTGTATTCGTCCAAACCTGCAGCTTTATTGTTTCCAAAAGTACTAACAATGTTACAAATTTCGTTTACCCTAGTAGGATATAAATACAAAGAGTCAACAGGTGGATCATTCATATACTGTAAATAATTCGTTTGGGTACCTGGGATTTTATTTGCTAAAGATGGACCAATGCTTGTAAAGAAGTCATTAAAGGAGTTCGAAATAATGTCCGGTTCTGTAGCAATGTCCCCGTTATAATTAAATACAGAATTCTCAGCTGGCTTACTTTTGTTAAGTAGTGAATTGATCGTTTGCCACGTATGATTTACATTAGATTTATTAAGTAAAAATTTGTCATGGAAATACTGAGATTTTGCTTTACGAATTAATCCTGTGAGTAGGTTACGATAGTTTTTATACACATAAGCATTTTGGTCTGATGGATTACGTAAATACATTTTGTATAATTTATTCTTATGTCGGATCGACTGTAACAGTCCATTCGTCATCCAACATTTCAATTTAATTGGAAAATGCTTATCATTCAATGCACGAAATTTATTTTGAAAAATATTATAACTATCGTTTGGATCTTTTGCAGCATATACATTCCTCCAGTTGAATTCGTGCAAATTCCTAATTATGGCCTCAATATTTCTCTGATTTATAATTCTGTGACCTATGTTAACTTTCGATGATTTTACATTAGCAACATTTAACTTTGAAATGGTAAAGACAGGCAAGTGATCGGATACATCACAATATAATAGACCAGTATCATAAAAAGTAAGTTATTTGTAAGTATATTATCTATTAAAGTGGCAGATGACTTCGTAATTTGTGTAGGTTTGTCGATTAAGGGGTAGCATGAGTTACTGAATACTATATCAATAAAGTTTTTTACCGAGTTGTTTTTATCATGTTGTAATAAATCGATATTAAAATCACCCATTACATAACACATTTTCTTGTCGCTAGTTATTTTGTTGAACACAATGTCCAGTGCTTCAGAAAAAATATCGATCTGAATATTTGGGGGTTTGTATACCACACCAACTATAACATTCTTTCTCTTTTCTTGAACTATTTCTATAAAAATGGAGTCACAAATTTCTGAATCAAGCGTCAGGTCATCTCTTAGAAAATAATTATGCGAGACCGCTATATACATTCCAACACCCCCGCCACGACCATGGTTTCTGTTCTTACAGATAAAAGTATATTCATCGATGTTTATTGAAAGACTAGCGTCTCTTAACCAGGTCTCCGAGATGCCTATTACATCAAACTGGAAATTTAAAATACTCAAGAAATTTTTTAAGGAATCACAATTTTTTAAAATACTCCTAACATTGAAATGT